GATGACACCTGTGTAGCTATGGTGTGGGTGCTTGTGCCACAGAATGGGATGGGGTTTGGATAGGCAGCAGGGAGCCCTGAAGTCACAGTTTTCTTGGTCTTGGCATGTGCATCATTGAAGAAGAGGGGTGAATTGCTGGCACCAAACTTCCCACAACCTCCTCTCTAGCAGCAGCTGCTTCCCCACACACCCTACTCTGCAGTAGGACTGTAAGGCAAAGAAAGGTATTGAGCCTTCAGAGGTATGGACTACTTACCACCCTTTGGATCCCATTTTTATATTTGCAGTGTTGCTAATAGCTGTGATTCTTCCACTTGCCTCTTCCTCACACATCATCCTTTAACAGCTGGTGTTGCACTCATACTTTTAAAACCAATGACCACATCTACCACCAGAAAACAAGCTCTGCTTTGGTTGTTGATTCCATCTTGAGAGGTTCATCTCACTTTTAAAATCTGTGACAGCTGAAAGCCCGTGATGCACAGAAGGAGATGATTGCTCCTGCACCATCCCACTCACCTTGCAGGGCAGAGAACCAAACCAGCAGGGCTGGGCTCCCTTTCCTTGCTCGGCAATGAACATATCCAGGTTCCTGTACAAAAAGTAAATGATAATCACACAGATCTTTGCTTTGTTTCCTTCCAAGCTAAAACCATTGATTCATCAAAGATTGATGCTGTGGACAGAGAGTCTTCTGTGAGCTTGACTGACTCCCCCCTGGCTAACAAGTTCAACAGCACAGTGTCTCCGCTAAAGACCAAACAGGCACAGCTCCCAGCAAATGAGGGTGAGCACTTTTCTGAATGCATAAATAAGAACAGCAGGAAGGAAAATGTGGACAGCATTTCGAAGTTACTCAGCTATTTTCAGTAGTGGAAAAGTACCTGAGGATTTCTGAAGAACTTCCATGTGTATCACTGAGTCCTTTCACCCAAAATACTGAGGAGTTTCCCTTGGCAAGCAGTTCAGTGATACAGGCTTAACCTGGAAGCATAGCCACCAGCTGTTTTAGGAGCAAAACTAAGCTGTGGCTGGGAAACACCAAGAGACATAAAGTTTCCTTTTCCTTTCTGGGTCTCATACAAAAGGGATTTCTGGTTATAGTGAAGCCTCATAAGGAATCTGGGCCACTGGTCCAACTGAAAGCTGCTAATTGGAGTTTTTCTGCTTCTTCCACTAGATCTATCCCACAACCACTCCAAGAAGCATGGAAATCGGGGGAAAAGTAGTGGGGCCAGGCTTGCAGGTAGGTCTGGGGATCAGCCAGAGGAGGAAGGGACCAGGTAGATAAAAGTTCATCGGCCCCCCTGTCCTTCCCACTGTGATAGAGATACATTTCCCTGGAGTACCATTGAGGATGCTCAATAGGGAATGAGGGCAAAAAATTACCTGTCAGAAAGACTCTTCTTAAAGATTAAACAAATCTTCACAGGCCTGTGATAAAAATTTAGTAAAAACATGAAAGTGCTTTGTCCCAGCTCCCCAGGAGAATCAGACAGCTGCTAGCACTACTGCTTTTCCCCAGCCCTTCTTATTTTGTATCAGAAAGACGCAGAGTGGAGAAGAGTCTTTGTAGCAAGAAAGAAAAGCTTTTGTGGCCACTTTCAATAGAAGGATGCTGTGCACTGTAAAAGCAGCTGTAAGATGTTGATCTTGTAGACAAAGCACTTTTCCTGTTATCTGGCATTTTTCAGGGACATTACAGGCGATTTTTTGTGGCAATTGTGGCTATTGTGTAAGAACAGGGATATGTACAGCAAACATGTGATGCTTTCTCTCATACTCTTTCAGGTACAAACTGGAAGACAGCCATGCTGGTTCTCAGCCCCTTGGCATTCATACTAGGATTAATAATACTGACACTCAATGTTCACTACAACAAGTAAGTGAGATTCAGGTTCATTGCCATGAACAGCATTTTAAAGAAAAACTCCAACATCTCAAAACAAAAGTCTTGGTATTGGCAACCTTCCCCATTCCACACCTGATGTTGCTGGGTCTCAGTAGATGAGTCTGGCTACCAGTGTGTCACCCTTGGTGATTTCTCCTCCCTGCCACCCTGTTTATCCATCCCACTCTCTGACCCACCCAAATGCAGCCACTAATGTTGGCTCCTCCTCTCCTACACATCTTGAGCCATCACTGAAGGAGCGGCATTACAGTTGCTGATGCGGAGAAGCAGCCAAGTGACAGACAGGTGCAGTTACTCTCTTCTTCTCTCTTCTTGTAGGAAGAAGAAAATCCTCTCTGCTCTGAAGAGCTCTCCAGCCAACAGCAGCAGAGTTGATTTACGGGAGCCAGCCCCCTTACGAAGAGGCCCCCAGCCGTACCTCCCGCCATCCCGCTCCCCTTCCCTGAGGCGTGGAGAGATCCTCATCGAGTGGAAAGACGGGACTGTCACTCCTCTTTTTGACAACATCAATTACCAAGTGGACTAGCTCCAAAATGACAGAGCTTTTGTTCCATCCCGTGTCACTGCTCCCACCAGGAAGAGTGCCACCACAGCTGATCTCCTCCCTGCCCTTGCTGTTTTGACAGGATGCACTGTTTGGGTTTTTTTTCCAAAACACTTGAGTACAATCTCCTTGCACAGCACAAGGTTGAAGCAAGCAGAGTAGATTGTTTGGTTTGTATAGGCACATGCTGCTTAGCAATTCCCGAGCTGCTTTAACCCTTAACAAACCCCAGGTTTCCCTAAATGAAGCTGGAACTTTTGCCGGCTGCAGCTGCCCATTAAACCAAAATTAAAGTCACTGAGCATATGAAAAAGCAAGTCTTTGAAGACAAGGTGAAAGGTGAAAAACAGAAATCCTGATGATCCTTAAATTCTTTTTAAGATAAAACTAGCTGCCAATAGACACAGAAGGCCATCAATTATATTGTCAGTGTGAGAATAATTAATAAGCACCACCTTCTATAAAATCTCTTCCAGGTATCTGCCAAAATATTCATCCCCACTAAGTTGTCAATCAAGTAGCAGCAAGCCATTTTCCTAACTTAAAAGGTAGCACTCCACTGTCCTCTCTGCATCACTGCAAAAGCCCTGCTGAGAGAGCATGTGTCTCTCAAAAGGTTTCCCTATTTAGGATGTACTAAACCTTATTATAACACACGTCCTCTTTTATTATATAGACTGGCAAGTAATGTCAGTCATGCTTGTTGGGGATATTGCATATAGAGCCACTTTATACCAGCTTCAGTCTCTGATTTTCTATAATCATATGGAATAGTCATGAATAGATACATTGCTCCACCAGAGCAGTAATACAGTTATTTTTCTTTTAGATAGCAGCAAGACATTGTTTTCAGCCTTTACACTTCTTGTTTCAGCATAATTAACCGTGACTGTCACACTCAGTCCTAAGCTTTTCTCAGTGAAATTTGCAATGTCTTAGCGCTTTACTAATATTCATGAATGTATGCTTTCTTTCTCTCTGACTTTGAGATGATGTAATCATGGCTATAAGTCAAGAATTATGTGGAGAAAGAAACAATAACACCAGGAAATTACAAGTATGAGCTGTGTCAGTGTATTTGTTCAGTAGAGGAAGGGAAACCATATCCTCACGTCTCTTACTAGAGCAACGCCTTTCACTTAACATAAATTAAGCTGTTCTGCTATTTCAGTGTAGCTTGGACTTCTCTTGAGTTTGGTTTTATTTAACTCACAGTAGAAGTAAGGTCTCTCCAGGGAATTTAAAATCTCTGGGTTTTGTTTGTTTGTTTTGGTTTTTTTTCAATTTTCTTTTTTAATGGTAAGAAAGTTTACTGTCATAAGGTATTATTATAACCAAAAACTTAACTAGTCTAAAAAAAATAAAAACACCAATCCTATTGGTTCAGGGCATAAATATCATAGAGGTTGGAAATAAATATCTTTGCCAGGAAGATTATTCCAAAATTATTTGCTGGAGGGTTTCCCAGATGCTCCTTGGGAAAATATTTTACTCTTAGACATGGGCAGAGGAAGAACTCTTTTTCCACCAGTGAACAGCAAGAATCAGAGTTAAATTCTGACTTTCCAACATTTCCATTTTAAATGAAACCCAAAGACTCTGGGATCAAAAAATGTGTAAGAATCATTTTACTCACAAAATTTGTTGGGGATACACTCTATACATAAATCACTTAAAATGCACACACAGTGCCTGACCGATTATCACAGTTACATCCCTTGGAATTTTGTCCAAGGAGCACATCATCTTACAGTGCACAGCACTGGTCACCCTCCAAAACCTTGACTTGCCTTGGGAACACTACAAGCATTCAGCAGCGCCATCAAAAAGGAAATACTGGCTTGGAGCTGAGCTAATGTGTTTTCCAAAGCACCAAGTGCCTGTGTTCATTACTGCTGAATGGGCAGAACCGATGACTTGGTAATGACTCTCTAACTCCAGCTTAATATGCTAATCTTGCTCATACACACAAAGGCAGCAACACCATTGTTTACACAGCACTGAATAAATGGTAGCTCAAACAATAATGAAAAACCAAGACTGAGGCTGCACAGGCTTTTAACTCTTCTCTCCCACTCTCACTGGTTGTTACACTCTCTGCCACCATCTGAATTAAACACTTCTGAGCAGTGTTCATAATCAAAATAAAGCCTGATTGTAATGTGGAGGAGCACTGAAGTTTTTAATGTGTGTGTATATATATACATATATATATAAGCCTCCTTATAGTGCATCCCCTTTATTCAAAATATAAATGCAAACAATTTTAAAGCACTCCACTGGAAGATAATGGAGTGACAAGCAAGAGACTACTGTCACACTTGTACCAACATTATTAATGTTTGCTGCCCCAAAAGATGAGTGGCTGCAGCCATAGAAGCATTGATAGTATGAAACAGACACAAGATTGCACATAAGCTTGGATATCCTGAGCAGAAAGTGAATTAAGTACCCTTTCCCAACCCTCTGGAAAATGTATAGCTAAGGTGTCTGTTAAAGATCAAAAAGTAAAAGAGACAAAAGAACTTCAATTTACCACTTAAATACCATATCTCAACCATTTACTAAGACTCTCTGTATGGAAAATGTTCTCATAACAGTACATTAGGGATGTACATAAATTCATGATACAAACAAAAAATACCTGAAATGATCTGACAAGTTATCACTGCATATCACTGGAAGAGTTGGGAATAGAACTACTGCTTCCTCATTTGAAATTCAAGGTATGACTTCTGCAGTGTTTTGTTATTAAAAATCCCCATATGCTCATTTTCTCAACTCTAGCTTTATATCAGCAAGTCAAGATATATCAAGTGTTTGATTTTTCAAAAAGACCTGTGGTGGTTCAGCACTTCAAGGAATAAAAAGAAAGGGGAAAAAAAAGGAAAAGTAAAGGAGACAGAGACAGAGGAAGACTTTTGTTAGCTCTGGGCTTCAATTCAGACATCTCTGGCTTAGAGTTCAATCAGACTATGCTTTTTTGTGCTACTAGGGGAGACAAAAGCACAATCTCTTTAAAAGCTTCATATATCCTCACTGAATTACTACAGATTAAAAAAAAAAAAAGAAATCTACATTTCTGCAGCCATATAATTCTTCCTCCAGTTTAAAACATAAAAAGCAGACCCATCTCCTCAAGAAATCCCCTTATACTTCAAAAAAACCCACTTATTCTCTGGAGCAGAGAAACTGATGCACTTCTTTCAGTGTTGCTTGCATGTCCTCATATTCTGCAAATTTGCAGGCATCCTCCAGCTTCAGCCACTGGAAAGCTTGGTGCTCCTCTGACAGCTTGATTTCTGTGTTGCAGTCCTTCATTTCTGCCAGCCAGTACACGACGGTCTTAGGCTTGCCACGGACAGGGTAGTGCAGCTCCTTCTTGTAGCCCTCGATGAGGGTGAGCTGGCTGGCCTGCAGACCAGCCTCCTCCTGTGTTTCCCGGAAGGCTGTCTGCAGGTCATCCTCCCCTGGGTCCACGTGGCCTGCCAAGAGGGTGGAAAAGTAAATCTCCCAGAAGGAAAACTCACATTTTGCTTTAATTGGGAAGCACTGGGAGACAGAGATGAGAGTACATGGTAGCTGACACAGGATGAAATGGAAATTGGAGAACAGAGATTGCTTTTCCAGATCTTGTGTCTTGATTTATGTTTGTCGTGTGGCTTTTAGGATCACTGTTTATCCCTCACCTCCTGAAACTTCCATCGGCCTCTCAGCACCAGACATCTTTTCTTCCCACTCCTCCCCTCCACTTCTGGAGTACTCTACACCCAAAAGGAGGACTGAGTCCCTCATTTTTCCTTTATCCAGTTAGAGTGGAGACAGGTCATCTGAGAGTCATAATCCTCTCTCAACCATGTCCTCTCACATAAGCTTAAGACTCAATTCTGCAAAACTCTTACTTGTGCCAACAGCTCAGAAACAACAGGACCAGGCACTGATATACCATTTAAAAGGTGGGTTTCATTTAGGCAGCTAGGGATTTTTTCTCTTCCACACTCCCCTCTGAAACAAGCAACAAGACTAAAAGCCAGTCCTTTCACCAGCTGGGTAGTTGTCCTAGGACACATGGTTTATTTTACATTGCTCAGAACAAGAGGTGCCACTACAAACAACGGATAAATATAACACGTCCCCAGCCGTTTATACTTTTGTTGAGAAATGTCAGATTTGGTTTTCTCATGAAAGCTCCAGACCAGAACATAAATAGAACAAGCCAAGCAATACCTCAAAAAAGCAACATAGCAAGAGCTGGGACATTTTACGAGAAAAAAAAAAAGTTTAAGCTCTATTTTTTCCCTGATGTCACTCTATTTTCTATGTAGCTTTTTGCAAATAGTTATAATTTCATCACAGAGATGAATCGTTCCTCAGGTCCCAAGTACCCAAAGCCCCCTTTTAGTATCACAACTGGGTTATGCAGGAAGTTTGTTTTGCTTTCACAACAAGTCCTACTCCCCTGCCGGTGTATTGAAAGTGTGAATAGCTCTCACACCATGAAATACAAATGTAAAATACACTTTTCTTTCAAGCAGCAGCTGCGCAGAAAACAGCATCTGATGTTGATACCTGATAACCACAGGTCTAAGCTCGATAAGTTGCCAAGTTTGTGCAACACAGTCTACCTGGAGGGCAGAAAAAGACTGCAGGCAGCACCTTACATACCACAGCTTCCAGATCCTCCCACCTGTTTCCACTAGTGCAGCTCCAATAGATGGAGAAGGAAAACGAACCCTACATCCCCTTCCCATCAGCCTCAGCTAGTGCAAAGTCACAGTCCTAGGGGTAGAGATAAGGCTTATGAGGTTCATGTGAGGGGATCGAAGCAAGTCTAACCCCTATAATCCCATAAGAGTTGCCGCTGCTTAGAGAACTTTTAAAATAACAAGGTACAGCTGTAGCTGTAAACTGCCTTTTGTGTGCGCTTTGAGAGACAATTACAACTTCTCCTTCTGGCTCCTGCCTCATGGAATCTACCTCAGCATCACATACAAGTTACATTACCACATTGCATACCCCAGTGCCACCTTGGAAGACCACTCCTATCAGAGATATTATAAAATTGAATGGCTTCTCTTCATTAAATTCCCCCAAATCAATACCAAGATTGTACTACATGCTAGCATCAGATTGTGGCTTTTGATCTCTAAAATCTTAAGTGGTGTGTTGAGGGAGGTGATTCTACCCCTCTGCTCTGGTGTGACCCCACTTGCAATGCTGGATCCACCCCTGGAGTCCTCAGCAAGGGAAGGACATTGACCTGTTGGATCGAGTTCAGAGGAAGCCATGAATACAATCAGGGAGTGGAGCTCCTCTGCTTTGGAGACAGGATGAGAGAGTTGTAGTTGTTCAGCCTGGAGAAGGCTCTGGGGAGGCCTTAGCGTCCCTTCTGCAGGCTAAAGGGTGGTGGTTTATAAGAAAACTGGGGACAGACTTTTGAAAAAGGCCTGGAGTGACAGGAGAAGGGCTCCTGCTTTTGATCTAGGAGAGGGCAGACTCAGACTACAGACAAGGAAGATTTGATTTTATTATGAGAGTCGTGAAACACTAGCACAAGTTTCCCAGAGAGGTGGTGAGTGCCCCATCCCTGGAAACATCCAGGTTGGACAGAACTCCAAGGAACCTGCTGTAGCTGAGGATGTTCCTGCCCAACGGTGGGGGCTTGGACTAAGCAACCTCTAAGAGTCCCTCCCAACCTACACTGTTTTGTGGTTCTGGGTGTGAGATGTATGCTTATGAGACAATTAGCTCCCCACCAAAACACCTGCAAGTAATTTAAATCACTTATCCAGAATTTCTGTGTTCCCAGGGAGTCTTTCCACAAGGGTTTCTTCTCACAACAATCAATCATGTCCCAGCAGATGTTTTTTAGCTCTCCACTAGGCTGCAAGCTCAACTCCCCTAGGCTCTTGGTAGAGTAGACAAAGGGGGAGGTTTGGAAAGTTTTGTTCTTTCCCTTAATAGGAGAGCTTAACTGATACTGTTAAAAGATTTTTTTACCCCAGTTTGCAAGTTCTGATTTATAAACTGCTGCACCACACTTTGAAAGCACCGCATTTTACAGAATGAGAAGTAAAAACTTCCAGGAAGAAATCTCAGGTAGTAAAAAACAGCATGCAAGAAGATCTACAGGGAACCTGAAGTATTCCTACGTTGCACTTTTCCTGGTACCAGGGCTGTGACTATGTGCTACCAAACACTGCTCTGCCACGTGCCGTTATGGAGGAGGTGCTGCTCTGTCCTGGGACACAGGGCTTGTTTTCTGTTCTAAGGCCTCACTGATAACCAAGAACAGCTGGTAATTAATTCTCCTACCTGTCCCTCTCATACCTGCACTAGGCAAGTGATCTTCATCAGTGATCTCCTGCACCTCCCAAGAAAGGTGTATTAAATTGTACTATTACAGATTTCAGTTTGCCTTCCTGCAAACTGTGATCCCTCTGATTACACATGGGTCAAACAATCCTGCACTGGCAACACTGGTGCCTGGTAAAGGATCAGACCCGAGGCAAGAGGTTAGAACATGCCCTCATTACCTCACTTCAGTCGTGTGCACATCTTGCCAGAAACATCAAATCCTCGAGAAGCTCGGCTGGGTGACAACCCCTGCCCCAACTTAAATCAGCTGTACCCAATACTTCATGCAGCCACAACCTGCAGAGGATTTCAGCCTCAAAACTCCCCCCTCAGTTGCATCAGGAGCACCATCAGACAAACAGTACAGCCAGCAGCTAGTCTCAGGTGGTAACCGCCCCTCTAAACTGATCTCAGCCAAAAACCCATTCTGCAACCTGACACTAATGACCTCCGGGAGTGTTATCAGAACAAAAATCACCTTTGGGCGGCGTCCAGTGGTGGGTCCCATAAGATGTTTGCAGCAGGAGGTACTCGATGCTGTCAGTGACCTTAGAGGATGGTGCTGGCTGCAGCCTCCTGTAGATGATCAAGCCACAAGCTCTCACCGCCATTCCCCTCTGCCAACCACACCAGGAGCTGTGGAACAGCACAAAACACAGGGCTCAAACATGACCAGTTGTATTTAGCCACCAAACAGATCTCAGCACAGTAAAACAGTTGTCTTTGAACAACTACAAAGTTGCCTTTGAAGTCACTACAGAATTAAATTGTATCTTATTAGCTACCTTTGAATTATAACAAACTTTCCTTATAAAACAGGGAAACAGGAACCTAGATAAAAGCATTAAAAAAAAAAGAATCTTACTGAGAAGCATGAAAAATGACCTGCATGTCATTTTTTTGCTGCTGACAGATGAGAAATCATATTGTGGGGAGGGGAAAAAAATTACAAAGCAAAAGGAAAGCCACGGATTAACACTCTGAAACTTTTCCACTGCAAAACTCCAAAGGCCCTATGCAGAGGTAATTCCTCAACATTACTGGAACTGGCATATAGAAATAATTGTTCTGGACAGTTTCTCTAGAGCACAGGACTCCTCAGGACATCAGAGGGAAAACCGAGACAATGAATGACAAAGGACAGGCTCTCTACTGTCTTGCCTAAACATAAGGCTGTTATACAAAACTAAAAGCTTCTTGGCACGTGTGTTAAGCACTGATTTGATGTAAACAATAAGGAACACACCTCTTAGGTGATAAATATTGTCAGCAAAAAGTTATACAGCCAGCATGAGTAGTCCTATATAGAAAAAGAGGGAAAAAAATGGAGATGAGTAATCCACAAATCTGGCCGATCCCCAGTTCCGGGCAAAGCTTTGCCTTCCGGTAGAAATGCATACTTCAGTAAATAACTTTACAGAACACCGTCTTTTCCTGGGACACCAAGAGCGGCATTACCAAGCACCTCCAGATTCCAACACGGGAAACCACAGCACGGAGCCCTCCACCACCAACCACGTCCCTGGACAGCGCTCAGCACTTTTGGTCAACCACTTCAACCGCTTCCTTTAGTTCCCGATCAGCCACAACAAGGACAACACACCCGCTGCGGCCCCCACAGCCCCGGGGCCAGCCCGGGGAACCAGCACCACCTCCCGTGCGCGCCTGGAAGGACAAGGACAAATCCCAGCAGGGCCCCTCCGCCGGTGCCTGGTGCCTGGTGCCACGCGGCCCCGCTGCCCTGCCCTCTCCTCCCCGCCCGCAGAGGGTCGCCCCTGTGCCCAGGGATGCGGACACTGGGAACACGGACATGCACCAGCCCCACAGCGGCCACCATAGACCCCCGCCCTCACCGCTACTTCCGGCTCCGGCAGTGGGTGGGGACCAGCGCATGACTGACGTCAGCGTTAACCAATCGCAGCGGCAGCGCGGAGGGCGGTAGCCACGCCCTTCTAGTCCCGCCCTCCCGCCGTCCCTTAGGTCCCGCCCCTATACCTGAGAAAGCCTCGGATTGGCCTCTCGCAGCCGATACGTGCCCCGCCCGCCTCTCTCCCCTCTCTCTATTGGCTGGCTGTGCGCGCGATGTTGCGCGCGGGCGTTTGAAGCGGGAAAAGCGTTGTTGCCATGGAGACGCGGCTTAATGGCCGCCACCGAGCGGTGGCGCGGCCGGTGAGTGAAGGGGGTCCCAGCTCTGAGGGGACGGGGACAGTTGGGTCAGGGAGGGTTCTAGGGACACCGCCCGAACCGGCCCCCCCGGGCTCGGGACGGGGAAAAGTCGTGGTGGGACAGCTCGGGGAAGGATGAGACATATCCCCCCCCCTTCGGACACGCGGTGCAAGTCCGGACGCGTTGCGGTTTGTCTTGCTACATTTTTATAATTACAAAATATTTTTCACTTAGGTATTTTATATATGTTATAGATAGCACATAATTTATGTAACATGTAAAATATGTAACTGCAATTAAAAATATGTATTTTTATGCATTATGTACAATATATAAAATGCTTAAATACTACTTAAAATATAGTTTTAATATATTTTATATAATATATAAAACATTTTTTTAATGTTCTCATATTTTAAAAATTAAATGAAACTTTAAAATTATAAGAGAAATCATAAGGGGCATTTGGTAGATCCTGCTGGGAGGATGAGCTCAGGCACGGTTTTCAAATAATTGGCACCCTGCTCTAACTTGTGGGTTATTTTCTCGGCACGTGGTTGGATATTGGACATTTCCAATATTCCATATCCCAATATTGGACACTTCCCCTTCTCCATGCAGCTGTTCCTGGCAGCTGTCGAGATCAGCTGCAGGATGGGGCCTCTTCTGCTGAGGTCACCAGGCTATTCTTAGTATGGAGAGAGGGATAAAATACTCTGAAATACTTTGTGGGGAAACAAAAAAAAATCCCCAATGCTTAGTTGTTTGTAAGCCTGTTTTAATGACATTAATTGTTTTAGTAGTTTCCTCAAGGTATGTTAGTGGCAAAGGAAACCCCCATTTCTTACCTGCTGCTGCAAGCAGCAGACCTGTGTCAAGCTCCAGCTGTAAAATAGCTGCCATTTACCATTAAAACCATTCCCTCCTCTCCAGTTACTTTTGCTGTACTGAAGCTGTAAGTGGTTATCTGTTGACAGTGTTCAGCTTCAAAACAGCTCAACTCTTGTTCCAAGGAGCAGTGGAACGTTTAATGCCCTGTTGTTTACATGCAGGGTAGAGTAATCCTATGATCTTCCAAAGGGATCTGCTGCAACGTCAACCATGGCTTCACAGTTCCCTACCTGTTGCTAAATTAAAATTATGGGCTCGTTTTACAGTACAGATTATCTCTTGTTGTCTTAAAAAAGTGCAACTTCAGCCTGACCCTGTTCTTCACAGGAATGCCCTATTTCCCAAGGAATGGGGTCAGAATGATTAAAAGGTAAAGCATTTTGTGTGGTGCTCTGGGAAAGCAAATTAACCATTCACTTCTGGAGGGTTAAGTCAGATTTGGCTTTGGATCACCTAAAAAAATAGCTTAATGTTCAAATGAATAAGGAGTGAAGATGGATGGGTAGTCATATGAATTAATAGGTTTCCCTTTTCCCTATTCATTCTTTGCTTCTGTATTTCAAAAATCCTGCAAACTCTGGCATGAACAGAACCTGTGCTGAAGCGCTGAAATATTTTTTGGGGTAAAATGGTTGCAAGTAATAAGTAAGTGTGCTGCTGTAGTTATTATCAGGAGATGAAATACCCACCTACACACATTTAGACACATTTACAAACTTTTAAAGTTCTTAAGTTTTATTTTTATAAGTTACTTGTAGAGCATGATGGTTTACACAGAAAACAGGGTGGTGTTTATGTTTTGTATGATTAACAATTTCTATGCTTATCAAATACGCTTCAAGATCATGATTAATAAAATTATTTAATGGTCAGGCCAGAGTTTATGATTCAGAGTAATTTCCTTAGACTATATGCATGACAAAATGTATATTTTGCATTTGTAGGAGTGTCATGTAGGATTTCTTCACTTTATTTTCCTAATTTAAAGAATAGATAAAATGTGTTCTCTCTCTGAGTAGTGACACTCAGGAAGTCATCTAAATCTAAAATTGTCAGGTGAATATGAGTGAGCTGCAGTGGGGTAACAGGACATGTAAGGGTTATTCAGGTAAATGGGGTGCTGAGATCTTTAATATATCAGAAGTTAATAAGGTTCAAGGCTACTTTATTCTTAAAATAATCTCTATGGGGCTTTTATATAATTTATTTTATATACAGTGATTGACACCAAGTATCTTTGAAGACCTTTCCTCCACCTTGAAAAGTGCATTGAGAAGGAGAAGATCTTGTGAAAGAGGTAATTAATAATTAAAAACATTTTTAAATGGAGAGTCAGCTCCTAGAGCGTAATTTTGTTGTAAGTTAATTTCCTTCAGGACAGAAAAATGTAACCACTCCTTTCTATTATTTACACCTGACTTTTCTTTTTTTCATCAGCTTTATGGCCTTTAAAAAAAACTTTAACACTGAAGCTGAGAAAGCGTTTTCTGATGGCAAGCTCCAATCTAATTCTGTGGCTAAGCTGGTTCCTTTTATATATAATTCTAATGCTTTTTTACAACAAGCAATTATGCATTAGCAGCATCTGGAAGCCTTTTCAGATCTTTGTAAAACATCTTGGATAAGAAACAAGTTGTAGAGAGCTCATGTTTGCCACACAGAGGAGTCAGGCTGGGTGCATGTGGAGATTTATTATCTTCACACTCCGCTCTTTCTCCAAATATATGATACCAAACTATTTCAAGAACGTATCCACCCTTTTATGTCCACCCTGTTTTCAGTGAAGCTACCCATATCTTTGTGGGAAACAAGACCTAGTTTTTGATACAAAATTACCACACTGAAGAATGTTTTTTCTGCCCTGTGACACATTGTTCTCATGGGTGAACAAACAAATAACTGAGGAAATACTCGCTGTTACAAGGCTAAAATCTTCTACGTTTTTTTGCCAGAAGATGGCAAAGCAATTTAGGATTCTTGAACACCTCCTTTTAGTTTTCACAAAGCAAATTTATTTTGAAGAATTGTATATCTGTTAGGATGTGGACACAAAGATCTTTACTGGGTTGGATGAATTAAAGTATTCTTTCAATAAGGAGAAAGATATCCTTTTTTTCTAGGTCATCTGTGATTGAAATGTGAAAACAGTTTCACTGGGAATTGCAGTTTTCCCTGAGTTCTTTCATGTTTGAACCACCCAAAATCTTTTAGTAGTTGTCTACTCTCAAGTTTTAAAGTGATCAAAAATACTGGAACCTCTTGTTATGCCAACCCTTATTTTTTTTTCAGTTTAATTAATTCGTTACTCCTTTATTAGTGAATGTTTTGTTTTCCTAGCTTGTGAAATTCCTGTCCTGTCAATAAGGAGTTGCTGGAGCTATCCCTGAAACGACTTAGATCCAGTAAGATTTATTATATCTGGGAAGGCAGACTGATTATTCATTAAGAGGACAGATCTCATTAAGAAAACATTTTGTTGCTTTCACATGGCACCGAGCCTTAGCCAATTAGCCACAAAGAGCTGCTTACGTGGCTCTTGTAGGTTCTGCAGTACCTACATTACTTGGATTTTCCTAGTGCTGAGAATTCTTCTGACTTGTCACTCCATATAATACCAACCTATAATTTCTAGCTATTTAAATATATTTTGTTTAATTTTTAATTAGAACCTTGACTTTGAATTCAGTTATTCTCTCGCCTTGTCTGCCATTCCTTTTTTAGAAAGTGTTTCCACCATTATAATTTGAACAGAGGTTAACACTAAAATTAGGGTCTTTGGACACTCTCTATTTAATATAAGGATATATAAAGATATAGGTGTAATCTAGGATACAGATAGAGAGTAGACAAAATAAATTTATTCGATTATTTTTGTCTTTAACAGATTCTCAACACTTTTGAGATTGGTGTCTTGGCCTTGAGTTCTAGGTGCTCATTTCAACAAACAGGAAGTCATCAAAACACCAAAACGAAGTTTCCCATGGCAGAGCATACAGAGAGTTGCACAGCACCTGTACTGATTTTACATTTTAAGTTACCTTATGTAAGAAAGGGAATTTTTCCAAAATGTAATTTTTTTTAATGAAGTCTCCGGTTCCTGTGTATTTTTATATGTTAGAGAAGTTGGCAAGTAGTGAATGCTTGTGAAACTCTTGCACACATATGGCATTTAGTCTCCCTGATCTCTGGGTTTTCTGTCCTGTCTGTCAGTTTTGATTTCCCCCACCCAGGATCTAGCAGCCTCAGCAGTGACTCTAACTTTACATCAGGATTCAGAATCATGTTACCTACACATTAAATAAATACACTTACATGTGAATTTTTTGGTTTTGGGGTTTGTTGTTGTTGAATCTCATATTT